CGCTGGCTGCCCTCCCTGCTTCCCTCACCCTCAGTGGTTGGGCGGGGAACTGTGGGTACCCAGCAGCCATTCGCCAGCGTCAGGGGCGCGTGGCTTGACAGAATGTGTGAGAACCGGGTCCTGGGCTTTTTGTTTCTTTTTGTTATTATTATTATTATTTTAATGGCCAAAGGGTGTATGTGTTTGCCAAAAAGTGATAGAGAGACACAAAGAGAAAGGAAGAAGGCGCCCCTCAGTGGGGCGTGGGCGCACTGCAGTCATTCCCCAGCTCCCCACCCTGCCAGGAGACACTCGCTCTGCTTCTCAAGCTGCTGGGTCTGGGTCGGCTCAGGCCGGCCACGTGAGATCTGGGTACACACCGGCCCTGCGCTCTGTCTCAGTGTCGTCACGGACATGGAATCGCAGCGCAGCGCGGGCTGTGAGGCTCGCTCGGCCCTTCCCTGGACTTCCGTAAGGGCTGGGGACCGAGCTTCCTCCTGGGACAGTGGGAGCCTGGGTGGTGCTCACTTCCGGTTCTGCTCCTGTGCTCTGGGCGTCAGTTTCCAGTGAGACCGGCAGCCTGTAGGGTCTGGAGTGAGAGGCCTTTCTGGAACGCAGCTGCTGACAGACACATGCAGGAGGGGTGGTTCCGTGTCACAGCCAAGGCCAGAAAGCTCCGCCGTTTCTAGAGCTACGTCCCCGGAGACGGACCATGGCGCTGGTGCTGCCACCCTTGTCTCGAGGAGCATGAGAGAGGGAGCCGTGGGGAAGGGGCTCGGGGATCCTGGGGGAAGAGCAGGCCTCAGCCCCTGGGAAGGGAGGTCATTGGGCACACCAACCTTGCTCGGAGGGGAAACCGAGGCTCGGGCTAACTGACTTGCCCAGGTGAGGGGTGACAGAGTGGACTGAACCCAGGTCGGCCGGCTCAGACCTCGTGTGTGGCTTTGAGGGGGTCACGGTCACCGGGGTCAGAGAGGCTGCACAGAGAGCTACAGGCGCCTCCCCTCCACCTATGTGGGCTTGGAGAGCCCTCAGAGGACCCCGGGCCACCCAGGATGGGGCCCTGTGTCCTGGCCTTGGCCAGCATCTCCCCAGGTTCTCCTGAGCAGGAAAGTGTTTGGGTCACGCTGGAGTGGCTCAGAATCCAGCTGTCACCCGCTCCCAACCTTGTCCTGCCACACCTTGTACCCCCGCGTCCTGGGCCTCAGTTTTCACATCCACATGACGTGCTGAGGCAGGAGCTGGTTCTGGGCCTGGTGTGCCTGAGGGGCTCATGCGCATTGCCTGGAGACCCCCGGGGCGGCCCTCGTAGTCCCTTACACTGAAGAACACGGAGGGGAAGTGGCTCTACTGTGAGCAGCTGCTCAGGAAAGGTTCTCGCCTTGCAGAGGCCCCTTTGAAAGCCCAAGTTCAGGTCAGTTCAATGTTCTATTAAGTGGTCACAGTTACTTCGTGAAATCATCAAGGGGTGTCACCCATTTCCTGTCTGGACATCCATCTCCCTGAGTGAGGCCCCTGTGTCAAGCTGCCACCTTCATATGCCCCTTGTCTAACCCACCAGGACACACCCCACCTGGGAGAGGCCGGCAGAAAGGCATGGGTCTGCGAGTTCACCATCAGTATTTTATTCTGTATCCGGAGCAGGGCCCAGTGACTGCCAACACTTTCCAGGCCACGGAAGCCCAGCAGCTGAGGCTGGTGGGGGTAGGGTTCTGGGGCCCCAGCCTAGGGCCAGGCCAGCTCTCGGGTGGGGTAGGGCAGAGGGGATGGAGTTTGCTGAGCTGAGGGGCTGTGTGGCCTTGGGCTTGTATAGGTTCAGTCTGCTGTGTGAGGGTCGCTGCCCAGAACCAGCTCTCCCAGCCAAATGGTGGGGGACAGTGAGTGACCCTGCTCGGGGCATCAGTAGATTTGGGCCCAGAGAAAGACAGAAGCATGCCAGGGAAGAGCTGTTGGGAGTTTGCACGAGGCGAAGCTGGAATGGTGCTGGCAGCAGCTCGCAGGTGGCGCACGCAGGCAGCTGTGTCATGGTTCTGTCTAGACTTGGTCCCGACACTGCGGTCCATGGAGGTGGGCTAGGCTCCGCCATTTTTACCGGTGTAAGGTCTCTAGAGGTTTGCACTGGGCTCTGCAGAGAGCTTGCAATTTCTTAGATGTGGAGGCTGAAGGGTCCACGACACCCCACTGGGGCCTGGGACTATGAGGTGGTGACAGCTGCAGTTGGGAGTCCAGAGCTGGACCTCTTCCAGGGAAACGTTGGCCCAGACAGACAGAAAGAGTGAGGCAAAACAGTCCCGAGTGGGAGACCAGGCCCCCTGCAGCTCCGGGCCTGGGAGGAGCCTGCTGGCCCCACACTGTTTGGGGCTGCCTGCCGGGCAGGCAGGGTCTGGGAATGGTGGTCACTGGGAATGGTGGTGCCCGATGGAGTGTGCTGGCAGGGGTTCTCCTGCTCAGGAAACTGCGTGCCCCCACCTGTGTCCTAGCCCTTGGCCATGCTGTGGCTTCCAGAAGGCCCGCGGCGCCATGCGGTGTCCGTCTGTGTCATCTGCAGGCAGCCTGCCCTACGAGTACAAGATCGTGATCGCCGGCAACCACGAGCTGACCTTCGACCAGGAGTTCATGGCCGACCTCATCAAGCAGGACTTTTACTACTTCCCGTCTGTGTCGAAGCTGAAGCCGGAGAACTACGAGAACGTGCAGTCGCTGCTCACCAACTGCATCTACCTGCAGGACTCGGAGGTCACCGTGCGGGGCTTCAGGATCTATGGCTCCCCGTGGTGAGTTGGTCTGGGCGCTAGTCCCGACCATGGGCCAGACCAGAGCTGAGGCCCACTGCCGGGCGGGTGTTGGGGCGGGGGTAGAGAAGCAGCAGGGAGCCCTGGTTGCTGGGCTTGGGACTCAAGGCAGGTCGCTGCTGCTCTCTGGGCCAGTGTCCTCATAGGTAGCTGGGGAGGCAGGGGGGATCTGCTGTACTCCAGGATATACTGAGCTACGTCACCGCACGTACAGGCAGGCGCTCTTGTTACCTCCACCTCACAAGTGAGGAAATCTTGCCTGGAGAGGGCGAGGAAATTGTAGAAGGTCACACAGCTCAGCCAGGGCAGGGCTGGGATTAAAGCCTCGCAGTTTGGCTTCAGAACCTCTGCAATTAACCTTTAGTCTACAGTGCTGGGACTCTTCCCCTGCTGCCTGTTCTCTCTCTCCCTACCCGGCCACACATACAAAAGGCGCTTGGCTGGGGTGATGACTGAGCAGCCTGGCCAGGAAGGGCGGTGGGGATGTTCATCAACGGCCAGCAGCCTGATGTACTGCATGGAGGAGGCAGCTGTTCAAACACAGTGCACGTCGGGCCCTTGCTCTCTGGGGGGACGCAGAGCAATCCAGTCTCCCCTCTGAGGGTCAAGGTGAGAACAAGTCATGACTCCTATTGTGATTCCCAGTGTCCCTGGGAGCCTGGTGATGGTGGTGATGAGGGTGGTGGTGATAATGAGGATGGTGGTGTGATGGTGATGGTGGTGGTGCTGCGATTGTAATGGTGATGGTGTGGTGATGCTGGTAATGGTACAGTGGTAATGATGGAGTGCTGCTGCTGATGGTGATGAAGAAGGTGATAATGATAATGGTTATGGTGATGATGGTGGTGATGATCATGTTGGTTATGGTGGTAATGATGTTGGAGTGGTGATGACAGTGATGATGATGGGGATGGTTATGGTGGTGATGACAGTAGTGTGATCACAGTGATGATGATGGTGATGGTTATGGTGATGATGGTGGTGATGATCATGTTGGTTACGGTGGTAATGATGTTGGAGTGGTGATGACAGTGATGATGATGGGGATGGTTATGGTGATGATGATGGTGATGATCATGTTGGTTATGATGATGATGGTTATGATAATGATGACAGTAGTGTGATGATGACAGTGATGATGATGGTGATGGTTATGGTGGTGATGATGGTGAAGTAGCAATGATGACGGTGATGATAGTGATGGCTATGGTGGTGAGGGTGATGGTGACAGTTATGATGATGATGGAGTGCTGCTGCTGCTGGTGATAATGAGAATGGTTATGGTAATGTTGATGATGGAGTGGTGATGAAGGTGGTGATGATGGTGATGATGATGGTTATGATGGTACTGATGTTGGTAGAGTGGTGATGATGACAGTGATGATGGTGACAGTTATGATGATAATGATGACAGTAGTGTGGTGATGATGATGGTGATGGTGATGATGGTTATGGTGGTGATGATGGTGAAGTGGTAATGAAGACAGTGATGATGGTGATAGCTATGGTGGTGAGGATGATGGTGATGATTATGGTGGTATGGTACTGATGTTGGTAGAGTGGTGATGATGACAGTGATGATGGTGACAGTTATGATGATAATGATGACAGTAGTGTGGTGATGATGATGGTGATGGTGATGATGGTTATGGTGGTGATGATGGTGATGGCTATGGTGGTGAGGATGATGGTGATGACTATGGTGGTAATGATGTTGGTGGAGTGGTGATGATAGTGATGGTTATGGTAATGATGGTAATGATGATGGTGGAGTGGTGTTGATGGCGGTAGAGTGGTGGTGATGATGGTGATGGTTATGATGGTTATAATGGTGATGACGGTAGTGTGGTGGTGATGACGGTGATAATAGTTGTGGTGGTGACAGCAGTGATAATAGTGGTGATGATGATAGTTGTGGTGGTAATGATGGTAATGGTGGTGATTAAGACAGTGGTGATGTTGATCGTGGCGATGGCATCCAATCATTTCTGAGCAGTTATAGGAAGCTGAGCTCTGGGTAAAAGGCTCTGTAACCCTAATCTCTAATCTCCGCCAGCCCTGTGAGGACTGGTTGATGAACCCCTGTCTTGTAGGTGATTGGTCCTGAGAGGTCCCACTATGATAACTGCAGGGAGCCGAGTGCTGGTAGATTGAGGTGGGCTCTACACATGGAAGGGAGAGATCACCTGTGCTTAAAAGTGTGGCTGGATCCTGGCAGGGCCCCTGGAGGAGAAGAGGTGACCTGAGCCTGGAGGAAGAGAAAGGCAGTCGCAGGCAGAGATGGGGAGGTGGCCGAGGTTGTACAATCAGCTGGAGCACACTGTTGGGGTCCCAGAGCCTGTATGTGGAAAGGAGCTGTGAACAGTGTCTAGGAACCCCCTGGCCTGCCCTGTACCCCACATAGTACAATCTGTGATGGAGGCCGTGGGCAGATGTAGGACCTGGTCCCATCTGGCCATGGCCTCTTCATGGAGCAGAGGGGAAGTGCAGGGTGCTGGGTGTCCCCTCTGCCGAGCCCCAGGAGGTGCCCAGAGTTATCTCTCTTGTCCTCACAAAGCACAGAGACAGATGACCCCACCCTGCAGCCTGTGGGGTCCCAGAGAAGGGCCTCTGGGCAGCTCAGGATTCGATGAGCTCAGTACGGAGGGTAAGGTGAGGCGCAGAGGTGGCCGATTCCACCGGACAGGCGCTGGGCCTGGCTGGCCAAGTCTGGTCAGAAGCCAATCAGGAGGGTGTGCTTGGAGGCCCAGCGTGAGCTCAGGCCCGCGGGTGACCGGGTGTGAGGGAAGGCAGGGCCGGGGCAGCAGTGGAGGGGCAGAGGCTCTCGGTGCCAGCTCTGGGCTGGGTCTCTGTCCAGTGATTTTCACATCCTTCTCCCAGACCTTATTTTCTTTTATTAAATGATTCTGTGTAAAGGTCAAGAGCGTGACGTCGGAACCCGTCTGAACTCAAATCTCGGCCTCACCTGTGTGACCCTCGTGAGATGTTTCACGTCTCTGTGCCTCAGTTTCCTCCTCTGCAAAGAGGAGCGACAGTGTGCCTTCTCCAGAGGGTGGGTGCCAGCTGTCACGAGGGCTCAGCTGATTCTGGTGCCTGTGGTGACCCGCCTGTCCTGCCAACTCTGACCTGACCTGAGCCCAGTGTGGGGGATGGGGGTGATGGGTGTGGGCGCTACCAGGCACCACTCATGGTTCCCCAGAGCAGCTCTGCGCACCCCACGCTGGTCTTTGACAACCAGCTCCCCAGGCTCTTGGGGGACTAGGGCCAGGTCTTTGACAACCAGCTCCCCAGGCTCTTGGGGGGACTAGGACCAGGCCTGGGCCCAGCGCCAGCCCCAGGGCCCTCTGCCAGCAGAGCCCAGTCCCAGTGCCATGAGGGGTGTTCCTAAGGCTGGGCTGGCTGTAGGTCAGGCAGTTCTGGGTGCTTCAGCCCCCGGTCACCCTGGGATGACTTTCTTCCAGCTGATACCTCAGCAGCACCCCCGCTGGGCCAGGCCTGCACTCGCCCGTTTTACAGAAGGGCAGTGGAGGCCCCGGGCTCTTGGCTCGCCAGGGCCACGTGTCACTGTCCTCTTTCAGACGCCCCCTACAGGCCAGGCCTGGATCCTCAGAATGGCCTCAGGGGTGCACACAGGCTTTACTGGGACGTTGAGGCAGGGTTGGAGATGGGCAGGTTCCAGTATTTACTGAGCACGGACCGCTTAGACCTGGGGTGCGCAGACACACAGCCGCTGCCTTCCCCCCAGGGTCTGCATTCTCCTGGGGAGATATCCAGCGACCAGTGCCCAGATCCACTCAGAGCCGTGAAGGGGAGGCCCTGGGAAGAGCCAGCAGCTGGAAAGACACCAGCAGCTGAGGGGTGAGGGAGTGTGTGACAGACAGAGGGGACAGCCAGCCCCCGGGTGATGCCAGAAGCCACCCAAGTGGGGTTGGCATTAATAGCCCAAGGAAGGAATTCACGCCTGCAGAACCTCCTGGCCCGGCTGCCAGTTCTGCCTGGTGCCGGGTGGGGTGTCGGGGTGTGTCTGTCGGGGCTCAGGCTGGGCAGCCTGAGCGCCCTGGCACCGATCACCAGGACATATGGCACTGCACTGGGAGGGTGTGCGTGGCAAAGCTGGCTGTGACCGTGTTAAATGCCAGTGTCAGGTTTCCTCCCTCCCTGGCCTTCACGTCTGCTTTCACAGGGTCGGGGGCCAGGGAGCGGTTCCGTGCAGCTTCAGAAGCATAGTTACCCCGGTGGCTGGGTCACAGGTCAATAGGACTTAGCCACATGGGGCCTGGGAGCAGTGGCCCTTGGGCACGGGCTGGTGAACTGGGCTGAGGGCAGACCTGCTCCCCCAGAAGGCAGATCGGGGACTCAGGAGAGTGATGGGGTGTGCGTTCTCACCAGTGCTGGAAGGCTGTCTGGTAGGCGGGATCTCAGAGAAGAGGCAGTGTGGCTTTATCAGGTGGCGAGACGTCCGTCACCAGGGGCATGCAAGCAGGAGTCACCGTGAGGGGACCTAGTGTCCTCTCAGTCCTTCTCCTCAGAGGCCACAGCTCCTCCGCCTGTGGGCCACTCCCGGGAGAGGGCCCCTCAGTGCCAGGCTTGGGGGCCGCGGTGTGAGCAGGGGAGGGAGAGCCCCTCGGTGCCGTGGTGTGAGTAGGCCAGCCTCCATGGCGAGGACTACCTGCGGCAAGTAGGAAGCGAGCTCCGCGCAACCTTGGTTCCACAGTGGCTTTCTCCTGAGAGGCTGCGTGGGAGGTCGGTGGGTCTGATTTTACCAGTTCCTGCCTCTCTGCCCGGCCTTGTGCTCTGAGGCCCTCTGTAGGCCAGCGTGTGCCCGGTTCAGTGTAGGGCTCTCATGACCATGAAATGGACCAAGCCAGGCCCTGCTGCCCTAGAGCTGAGGCTGGGACAGGGTGGGCAATAACTGGTGCCAGCCTGTGCTCGCCAGGCCTTCACCCGGGCACGTTCCCATTCAGTTCTCGCCACGGTTCCTC